CTAGTGGATAGACCTTGCATTACCAGCTTCACTTAAGATGAGTTAAAACCAATCCACACGCACACATGCCGAATCATGTACCAGCCTTGCATTTCATGGGGCTGGAGTTTTCTGTGACTCTCAGATTATCATTAAACTGTATTTCATCAGGGAGCTTTTATATGCCTCTCCTAAGCACCACCTCTTTGTTTTCTCTTCCTTTCCTCACAGTCCCCCAGCTTATTGGTATATGGCATTTGTAGCCAGGTCAGTTGCACCCTTGTGTAATTCCTAATATAGTTCTGGTTGCAGGATTTACATGGTACTTTAGTAATTACGTGAATGAATCAGATGTATGTGTCTGGCAGACAGGCTCCAATGATAAAGGTTTTGAGAGAGTAAAATGCTGAACATGGCACTGAAAGTTTCCTAAAATTGAAATGTTGGCTTCTGAAGCATATAAGATTTTAAACATTCAGTTTAAATTTTAATATGAATCATGTGTGTTTAATCAAGGGACGATAAACTTACCAGCATGCTTTTAACTAATGCTAACTAAAAAAGAAGCTAGTTAGTATGGGGGGAAAAGGTTACTGTTGAAGTAGTAAATAGTTTTTCACCTTTTCAGCAGATGAGAGTTAGAAGCTTTCTTTCCAGGGTGTGCATGTGTTGTGCGTTTTAGTGGGGCCAACCTATTTACCTGGGTAGAGAAGGAAGTGTGAAAGCTTTGTACAATTGATTACTTGACTTTTTTTGTCTCATTGTATAATGAGTTGTCAAATAATCCTATTTTTGGTCCTTGGCCAAATATCCAGGAACTCTAGAAAAAAATGTAAGCAATTGAAATATTAGATAATAAAGTAATCTGGTTAGAAAATCAAAAGAAAATATTCGTACAAAGGGGAAAATATATGGTACTTAAAGCATATCTATAAAATGAAAATATTTTTCATATCGATCTCCTTTGTCCTCTTAAAATTAAGGCTTTTTTGTGGTCAAACATTTCTCACAGTGTTGCAAAGACACAACTTTGTGTGCTAAAACCAACTCCCCTAATGGTATTTTCAACATGCCTGTGTTCCTGAACCTTGCAGAGAGGAATGACCAAGGTCTGGACAAAGGCATTCCTCCTTTGTTTAAAAAGCAGTATAAACATCACACCTATTTATTCATTTTCCACACATACCATCTCTTTGAATTTTGAGTTGTCATACTTGATGTGCTTTTCCTTCCGCCAAAGAAAGGTTTCACTACAATGTTGAAAAAACTCATGGGCTACTGTTCTAGAAGCAGTATTTTAAAAGCAGTGGCTTATCAGGATTTCTCTGAAAACACATGCGTGTTGAATATTTTCTCGTACAGGGTGAAGGAGATTTATTATTGATCTCTTAAGAATTGTGTTATGTGGTTGAACTTGATGGCAGTTCAGCTTTTCCAGTATCTTTCACTCTTTAAAAGAGACAGTGCCGTTGCCTTTTCTTTTGGAGGAACTGCATTCTGGTAGTCTTCTGTATCCTGCCATGTCCGCAGACCTGAGAGAAGTAAATCCCTGGCTTACAGTGCCTGGTGTTAAGGGAGTGAAGGTGTCCTGTAAATGGCTGAGGAAGAGAGAACAGCATTCCCTTTGCATCATGAGAAATTCATCACATACAAAGTACACTCCCTGTCACTCAAATTTGAATAGCATAGTGCACCTCTGATCTGTGTCTGTATTAAGCTATATTTGCCGTTCTAACCAAGATGACAGGTATTTTAAATTTGTTGCAGTGCTATCCATTTGTTCTCTGGCTGTCAAATTTCAGCCATATTTTGTGTCCACTGGAGGCAACTACCACTTTTGGATTTAGGCTCTGGTATAGAGATGTAGACATATTCTCAACTTTATACAGGAGAGTTTGGCAGTAATGGAGATTCACGGTGCCACTGCTGTGCAGTGTGACAAACCTTTGTCTCACACAAAAGTCTGGCAAAATGATCTCCATTGGTTCGTTCACTAGGTGGAAATCTAACTATGCTTAACCATGTTTTCTGTAATATTTAGACTTTTAGTCGTTTTGCCATAACAAAGCAATTACTATGCTTTTTCACACCTTGAAAATCCTCTCTCAGTAGACTTCTGTCCTGCCCACCAAAAGCTTTCAGCCAGCCAGATCTTGGTAGCAGGAAGCTGTCAAGAAGGCTGATGTCTGCATTCTAGAATTCCTTTTTTTAATTGACAATGCTGTCATTAGAAAACTGTGAGCATCTCATAGAGGCATCCCTCCACTTAGAGCTTCAGTGTTCCTAATCCAGTCTTACTTAGCTGTTGCTTTTTTGAGAAGGATCTAGAATTTTTCTGGGAGAGGTCTTTGTATTTCTTGTACTGTAAGAGAAATCTCTGGTTTTGAAAGGTGGCAGAAGAACAGTGACGCAACACAAAGCAATTGTGGGTTCAAGTATGTTTTACCAGTTTGTCCACTTAAATGTGTATTGACAGGTGCTGCATACTATGACGGGCTGGCTCCCATTTTAAATGCTTATACCTGGGGTAGGTTCAAATCTTTGTTCTGAAGATCACTCCTATGGTTCATGGAAGTTCATGGAATGAAATGTACACGGGAGGTTCTTCAGAGCTGCAGATAAGCCAGGTGATTTTTCTGCTTTTAATCCAAGGTTTTCAAAGCATAAAAAAAAAGTTGTTAATCACTAGAAGACTCTTCTTAAGACTCTTCCTGACTGCAAACCTACTGGAAACCCAATCTATTGATTCATTCCATCTTTTGCAATTTGAACAATTGCCAATCATTTATGAAGAATCTGGTCAATAGTATTGTAATTTTTCATTGCTGGGGATTTGACTTTAAGAAAGGTGTCTATTGCATCAGTTTTCTGTGTTGTGGAGCTTAAGAAAGGATGAAGTACTACTTCACATAAGTCATACATCTATTACTACTAGAAAGGACTTTTGAATAACACTGTTTTATTCAGCATCCAGCCCAGTCACAGGAAGTTTAAAACTACTTCGATAAACTGGAGAAACTAGTTTATTACCATTGGCCTTAAAAGTCCAGTTTTGTAAAGGTTTTACATTAAAGGAAGACTTGATTCAGATGTGATGTTGAGGCATTGTGAGCAGACTGATATGACCTATTACAATTCCATTTGCTAAGCACTTAGATGCTGAAAACATCAAAGTATCTGTGCTGTGCTCCACTTTTCTCTTTCTGACATCTTTTAGTTGTGAAGTATCTGCTATATATAGTCCTGGAAATAACTGTTGATTGAAACAAAGATGTGATGATTCTAATCAGTTTTCATAGTTCAAGATTCTTAATTTAATGTGTTTGATATCATTACATTTTGTGCTGGGAACTTTGAAGAATCATGAGAATTTTCCACATGTACATTTTCTTTTGAATGATTTAGTGAAGTCAAGAAAATTACTTCATTTGGCCTGTGGACAAAACATTTGATTTCAACACCTTACTGACTAGAGAACTTGTCTATTAATATTTGCCTAAAGATGTGGCCTGTGGATTCTGATCACTTCCTACTAGTAAATTACACAAATAGGTGTGGTATTTATATCTGAAATTTTGCTGAATGCCTGGTATACTTTATGCAAATATTTTATTAATCAAATGGAAATGCTCCTGCAAAGCTTCATGATGCAGATTGTCCATCAGTTGATCAAGTGAGCTTACAAACAAGTAGTTCTGTGACCCAAAATGGCATGTTTTCTTTTAAGACTGATCATTTAAGAATGTTTTGTCTTTTGTAGAAGAAATATGACTTTTATACAATAAACAGTTGGAGAGGTTCTTAAACACCCAATAACCTGGTTTTAGAACATAATATCCTAAGTTGGAAGGGATTCAGAAGAATCATCGATCCAGCCCCTGGCCCTGCCCAGGACACCCCAGCAGTCCCACCCTGTCCCTGAGAGCGTTGTCCAAACACCCTCTGAGCTCTGACGGCCTTGGGGCTGTGCCCACTGCCCTGGGGAGCCTGGTCAGTGCCCGACCACCCTCCGGGGGAAGAACCTTCTCCTGATACCCAACCTAAACCTCCCCTGACTCAGCTTCATGCCATTTCCTTGAGTCCTGTCACTGGTCCTGAGAATGAAGTCTGTCTGTCAGCAGGGCACTGAATGTAGATGGTTGCTATTTGGCAAAGCTTCCTATGGCCATGTACTAACTCTGATTGGATGTAGCAAAAGTTCAAAATTGTGACAGAATTTAAAGTTACTGTATCTGACAAAAGAGAAAAAATTGGAACCAGGAACCATACTCAGTTTTGATAGATGTATGCTAGCTGTTTTCAGGTTGGTGGCAGTCAGTTACATGTGTAATATGCTCTACCTGGTTTGTAGCTGTAACTGTGACGTTCGGATTAAAAAAAAACAAACAAAACCACAAAAAAACCCAAACCCAGCCCCTCTCAACAAACAACAAAACAATCTCCCCTCTTCCAAGAACTTGTGAAAACAGAAGCAAATAATGCAATGATATAAGATACACACTTTTGTATTTTTATTCTTATAAGGTTATTTGCTGGCTCTTGTTGGCCTCTAGTTCAGTCTGTGTTATTTAAATTCTAATATATGAATTATTTGGATTGAATTCATGTTCGGGGCCATGGTGTTGTATGTATTGATGTACAGCCTTGAATGTGAATAATTATTGTAAACTATATTTTACACCTTTTTTCTGGCTTTATTATATAAATTTTCTATCGGTCGATGATTTAATCATATCTCATAATTTAATGACTGTTTATTCTCCTCTCGACAGATCTCTGTGCTGTAGATGTGTAGTTAGTGACTGGATGACGGATTTCACTTACGCTTGGTAGTCTGTAATAAAGGCATGTAGGGTCCTGCGCAGCCTCCGCCTCTTCCTTCCGGTGGGTCGGGGTGGGGAGAGGGGTGGACTCGGGGCTCGGGGGCCGGGCCGGGGCCTCTCCCCGGAGAGAGGGGGCAGGGAGCGGCTCCGGCGGGCGCTTCCGGGGGGCGGCGCGCCCGGGGCTGGGCCGGCGGGGCGGCCCCTTCCGGCGGCGGCGAGGATGGCGGCGGAGAACCACTGCGAGTTCGCGGTGCCCGTGGCCGGCGGCCTCGGCGCGGGCGGGCCCTGCCGCCGCTGCAGCTCCGCGCCCCCGCCCGGCGCGGGGCCCGGCAAGTGGGTGCGGCTGAACGTGGGGGGCACCTGCTTCCTGACCACTCGGCAGACGCTCTGCAGGGACCCCAAGTCCTTCCTCTTCCGCCTCTGCCAGGCCGATCCCGACCTGGACTCGGACAAGGTGAGCGCGGGCCCCGCTGCGGGCCCACTCGCATGTCCTCGCACCGGGCTCGCTCCCCTGTCCCCGCGGTGTGTCCTGTCGGGCGGCCGCCGGTGCGGAGGGAGCGCTGGGCCCGGCGCTGCCGTGAGGGGCGGTGGGAGCGGCTCTGCCGCCGCCAGGGCAGTTTCGGAGGGGTGCTGTTTAACCAGTCCGTGAGCTTCAGGGGAACTGAGGTGTAAGGTGGGCTGATGCCGTGCGAAACCACTGGGTTCGTGAGTAACACAACTGCTCATAAATACAACAGAGAGCACGGGATCGTTCATACATTTGTGTGACTTTTTATGTTGTCTGACGGGGTTTAAGTTTTAGCATTTTAGTGGAATATCTGTGTGCACTAACATTTTGTTATTTTTGCACTGTCATCACTCGTTCAATTTCAAGAACCTGATCAAAGTACTTTTGATAATAACTTCTCACTTGGGCATGGCATTCTGTCTTTCAGCAGTTCTTTGTGAAAAACGTTACATATTCTGCATAGATTGCAAATGGTGGGTGATACTGTATATTTCAGTATTCATTCTGACTCATTTTTAGTAGGGAAAGAAGAGTTATTAAGATATTATCTATGGTGTGGTATGTAGTAACAGATAAAAAGTATTTGTATATAGTGCTGGCTCTGGAAGCAGTTTTGGAGCAGAATGAACAAAAAGGTTTTTCCAGTACACTTAGGGAAAAGAAAGGAACAGCTTATAACCCTTGAATATATAGCCAACAGATTTAAAATAAAGAGTTGCTTTTTATATATGAATTTTTAAAATTTTAATTTTTTAAATATATATGACTTTTTTTTTCAATGAGACTTGTAGTAGATTTCATTATTTTCTCAGGTATAACTTCCAGGAAGGATATTTCAACACTTAAGAAGGTAGGGAACAGGACCTAGTATTCCAGATTTAGAGAAAAATAAACAACTTCAAATGTAGTGGTGTGGGAGTGAGTTTTTTTGTTGTTGCCCTTGGTTTGGCTTGAGTGTTTCTGGAGAGCTTAAACTAACCTATAAAAGTAAATTTAAAAATGTAGATGGCTTGCTGATAGGTCAGAAATTGTCTTTATTTGGGAGAGTAAAGGTTTAAGGTTTTCTTAAATAAAAGATAAGGCACTGCCATATGCCCTGGCAGATTGGAAGGCCAGCCGTGTCCTGGGGGGCATCAGGCACAGCATCAACGGCCAGGCAAGGGACGGGATTGTCCCCTCTGCTCTGCACTGGGGCGGAGTCACCTCAAGTCCTGGGCACAGTGTGGGCACCACAATATCAGAAGAATCTAAAGCTCTTAGAGGGCATCCGAAGGAGGGACACAACGATGGTGAAGGGTCTTATGGGGAAGCCATAAAAGGAACGGCTCAGGTCACTTGGCTTGTTCAGTTGGAGAAGAGGAGACTGAGGGAGGGAAGATTCCGTAGCAGTCTACAGCTTCCTTACAAGGGGCAGCACCGATCTTTGCTCTCTGTGACCAGTGACAGGACCCGAGGGAATGGCTGGAGCTGTGTTAGGGCGGATTAGGTTGGATATCAGGAAAAGGTTCTTTTCCCAGGGAGTGGTTGGGCACTGAACTGGCTCCCCAGGACAGTGGTCGTGGCCCTAAGGCTGGCAGAGCTCAGGGAGTGTTTGGACAAAGCTGTCAAGGACAAGGTGGGATTATTGGGGTGTTGTGGGTAGGGCCAGGAGTTGGAAGGGACTCACAAGGATCATTGATCAACTCAAGATATTCTGTGATTCTGTGATTTCCTTAATGGTTGCTACTAAAAAGAACTGAAAGGCTTAAAAAAAGGGACCACGTTTGCTTTCAAACTACCTTCAGGTGCTATGTTGAGTAGGGTGGAGCAGCCTGTCTCTTAGTGTCAGATATGTTTCTACTTGCAACAGAGGAAAGATTAACCTTGGGACTCCCTCCAGCAAAACTAGTGTTTAGTGGAATAAGATGGTGACACAGGTTCTCTGAATTTAGTGTGTGTCACAGTGTCACGCACAACTTTGTATTTAAGGCTTCTTGAGAATCATTTCAGCAAACGAGTGGTAGTAGTCATACTTACTCTTAACAGTAGGATTTGTTTTCTGGAATATTTAAATCTTGCTATAGAAATGAATTCATAAAAATAGACAAGCAGAGCCTTGCTCACCTTTTCATCATTGTTTAATTTAATGCTTTTACTGCATTATTTCCAGATATTTTCCTATTTCAACACCTTCCTACTTTAGCTGTATACCAGTTTTTCTTTTTCAAACTGGTCTATCAGCCTTTTAATTTTCCCCAAAGTGAGAAGATTGTCAGGCTTTCTTAATAAGGCTTTGGCAACAGTATTCATGCTTGATTTTTAATGCCTTTCTAAAGTTAGGTGAATTTGTACTGAGGTAGAATCTGTCGAGGAAGAAAGCAAGCAAGCACTGAATATTTTAGAAAAATCAAAATCTTCCTGGCAGCACATCCTTAACTGTAATTAGTAAGAAATATCTAAATTGTAGTCATTATTCTAAGAAATAACTGAGATAAACTATATTTGTCCGTGACATTTTTAACTAGTTAGATGGGTTGTGTTACTGATGTAGTTTTGATAAGTGCTGGCAGTCTGCTGACACTCAAAGTTTTTAGGCCACATAGTTTGTGAAAAATGTGTTCTGGGCAACTAGCTCAAGATTTAAAAAGCACAGAGGGTAGTGGAGACAATTATTTTTAAATCCAGATTTAGTGCCAAATATTACTATATTTCTGTGCATATTGCTGCCTTTAGCAGAACTTGTACTTGCTCAGTATATGTAAATGATGTAATTTTTTTAAAATACTCATGGTAGAGCACACAACTTTGAGCCAAGAGCTTGGTGCTGTGGATTCTGAGTGTGTCCATTCTGGAAAAGTATTGGTCTCAGTGAAGATAATTAATTGGAAATAAATTTATGACATTTCAAATACTGTTTTAATGCAATTCCTGGGGGACTGTTGAATGGGATTGGGGAGGTGTATGTATTTGGTCCACCGTTTATGAGTCCTACTGGAATCCTGAACCGGACTCTAGTGTCCACAATTCAGCATCACAGTGGGGTAGTGGGTAGTCACAACATGGAACATGATTTGGCAGAAGGTTATAAAGAACAAAACTGTTTTGTTGGCAAGGAGTTTAAGGAGTGACTTCTCAGTCCAGAATTACATAAATGGAGACTAGAAATCTAATAGTGAAGCTTGTTCAATCTAGCAAAGGTATTGTCAGATCCAGCTGTTGAAGTGTCAAACTATAGGTGTCCATAGTAGAAAGCACAGTGTTAACAGTGACAGTAATTATTTATTGGAGTGGCTTGCACTAAAAGGTTAGGTTTCACCACTTCTTTCTAAAGGTTAAATTTCACTGTAAATAAATTGAATCCTTTTAAACTAAGATCAGGGTAAGTGTTCATTGATTCCTTTGAACCTCAGTCTCTATAATTGAAATGGAAATGTTTGCAACAGGAATACATGATCATTTAAATGTTTTGGGCAATATATTTCAAATTCTTTGAAAATACTTGTGTATTGCAGAACTAGGTGATTGAAAATTTAAGAGCAAGTTATTAGGGCTTCCTGTAAAATGTCATGGTGTGGGAGAGTGGTGATAAACAAATGCAGGTTCACTGTACCTGATCAATGCTTTCTTTTAAATGGTGTCCTTGTAAGTGCGTGTGGAAAAGATTCTAGGACTTATGGACAAGGAAGGAAAAACTTGGGAGAGATGTAATGCAAAAATAGAACTGGGTAAAGATACAAACACTTGTGTGATTAATTAGCACTTTTGCTTTGTGTTTTCTTATGAAGAAGGTGCATGAAACACCTCTGGGGTCAAAATCTGGGGTGATGTGACTACTGAATAGAGAGGAAATGAGTTTCAGCTGCTGTTCTGGTAAACATTATCACCTGTTTACATTATATATGTATGTATATATACACAAAAGAGAAAACTGAAATCTTATTAGAATATAGGTTTGTCTGACATTTGTGGTATTTGCCTGAAGTTTGGGAAATGTCTTTAAAATACCCACACTAGTTGTGTCAGTGAAGATTCAAACTTGCTCGAAGCTTGTAGTTAGCAGAGGAAATTGCTTAGCGGGGACACCAAAGTCTATTAATATTTAAGCTAGCAGCTTAAATCTAGTTATGTCTGTGCAGACTGTAACTATGTATTTAAACTGCTAGACCACATGTTAACTGCAATTCAATATTCTTGTCTTAAAATAAAAGAAAACTTTCTTTTAGAAAATGTCAAAATGCTAATTACACAAGAGAATACAATGTGCTTTCATGTACATGTGGATGAAAACAATCCTGATGATATTCTGATAGACTTATGACCTGTATTTTGAGTGTTCTAGGTAGAGCAGATAATTACACTTCTGTGTCGGATTTTATTGGATTTATGTTTACATAAATATCCTTAAAGATCTAGTGTAATCGGCTTTTCTTAGTGATTTCAACATGAAGTGCTTAGCATACATTGAAGGATATTCAGGCAGCTCACTCTAAAGGAGGAGTGATAAGGCATTTTCTATAGGAAGATGCCAAGGAAGTAAATTTTGTGCCCCTTTTGCCTGTGCATTTTTTGCATATGGTTACAATATTCTTTACTGATTGGTTTTCCTTTTAGGGTGACTCCCTGCTGCTAGTCTGTAGCAAACCTGAGCTGTGAGGTCAGTGTTCAAGACACGCATTTTCCTCTTTGGAATAATGTTAATTAATGCACGTTTTCCATATCTGTAGACGTGTTTGGATAGCCAGAATTTGCAGGGAATTTACATGCTGAAGTGAATGCTATTGACAGAATTTGTACTGCACACTGTTAACATTTAGCCAGAGTTTATAAGTATTGATATTTGCTAATTTCTATTGCATCATAAATTATAAGACTTATGTGTGCCTTCTTCTTTTTTATAATTTTTCAAGACATATTATTGCCTGAAAGGCTTCACAGAGTAAACAATGACCCTGCTGGAATTGCATTTTATTCATACGTGACCTCTCATAAGGTGGAAGTTTAAAGAGAAGGCCTGACATAGCTTCTTCCCTTTGTGGTTATTTTGAAAGCTTGTTTAGTGTATAGAAATCTACTTAGGGAAGGGTAATTTCAGATACTGTAACCCGTTTAAAAAAAAAAAAAAAGAGGAAAGAAAAAAAATGTTGAAGACTTTTTTGCAAAGAGTGACGTAGCTGCTGTTACTAGAGATTTCATTTAGAGCTTTTAGTTACTTTGCTTCCCAGACCCATCTCTATCTCTGTAGTAGTGTAGAGCTAGAAGCCAGTATTGCTTCATAAGGTGATGTGAGCAAACACTGTAGTGTAAAGAATTACAATAATCTTATTGAACAAGATTATTTCTAGAGATTTATTTTTGTTAACTGGGAGGACTTCCAGTTTTGTAGGCCCATATGTTTCTTAATTCAGTTCAACTGATGACCAAACACTGTGCTTTTCTTCTTTAAAATAGTGTTTCTTTTTATCTGTTTTAGATTATACTTTTCAAATTCACTGGTTTCTGTTCCTGTACTGAATAATACATTTCAGTTTATAATTCATACAGTTGTCAGCTAATTTAATTTGTTCGGGTTTTATCTGTAGATTGTTCATTCTTGAAGTGTTTTGGTAATGTAAATGTATTTAAATGTGACATATTAAAACTATACCATCTTATGCACTTTGTCTATCTGCATAGCCTCGCTTCTGTGAGACCTTGAGTTTAGATCAGAAGAAATTGTGATTAGACTTCATCAAGCATTGTCTGATCTGAGTGCAGGTTAGCTGACATCATGTTTTAATGTATTAAACATTTTCTTGAACAGTTAATTTTATATAAAATTAAACACCCCTTCACTTCTTCTAAAATGACAGTGTGTCTAAGTGTGTACAGCATTTAACTTGTAATTATAGAAAGGCGTTTATGGCTTTTGTAGTTCAGGCTGTAGTCTTTCTACATTCTACCAGCCCCAGCTAGACAAGTGCAGTTATTCAGAAACTAAATCCATGTACCTGAAAATATATCCACCATCTTTTTTCCAATTAAACAGTTTTTGGAACTCTAGGTCCTTTTAAGTAGAAAGAATTTTCAGGTATCTGAGTTCAGTAAGCAAACCTTTATATATAAGCATTAATGTTCAAATGCAAAGGATTGGGGCAGTAGAATTTTTTTTTTTCATGTGGAACAGCAAATATCACTACCATATGTGGTTTCCAGGGAGAGTGATTCAAATTTAGCTAGGATTGTTAGTAATGATGCTTTTTTGAGTATCTCCTGTAAACTACTAGAATATTAAGAATAAGTAAAAGAAGTATTTGGGGTGCTGCCACATCTTCAATATGTATCAGTGAGATATTTATTGTGCCAAAACCTAAAGGATTAATACTGTCAGTGATCCACTTGGTAGTAGAAAGAAGCAGTAGATCTGTTAGACATCTGTCTTTTGAATCTTCCTTAGACCAGCATGAAATATATCAGTACTGCATTGATCACAGGGGTTCACACGTAGGTTCTAAATGACATAGGAGATACCAATTTTGCCTCTTAATCTCTTTGCCAGGAATATCAGCTCTGGATTTCTTGATGTGTTTTGCATTTCACAAAATGCTGTAGTCTGTTCAGTAAACTGAGTGTTAGTTAATTTGATCTATTCCTTCACTGTCTGCACGAGGTAGGTAGAAACTGCAACTGCAGTGTACGTTTTTTTAGAGGATGCACATACAACTCTTGCTTGGTACATGGCAGTTCTCAGTATCCTGTGAGGTTTTGTACATTGGAGCTAAGACAAAACTAGATGTTTTTAGAACAAAGTGTTGAGGTTAAAAAGAAGTAGATTTGTTTGCCTTTAATTAAAAAAAAAAGAAAAAGGAAAAACTGGTATTTGAGTCTTGCTAGAATGTAGCCTTTGTTCAGGTTTCCAAAAAAAAAATTCCTCATTTTAAGTGTTATTTTTAGCCTTAACTTTTCACTTACTACTTAGATCTTTCATGCTAACAATTTTGATAATCTTTGATAAATGGTTGTAGGTGATTAATCAGGTAAGAGAAGTTGTGTATTACATGATTTGAGTGATCAGTCTCGTAAAATTACAACTACGTTGTTGAATTCCTTCCTTTTAATGTCTTTAATAAATTTGGCTTTAATGGATGTGGCTACATCTGAATATCTGCTTGCTATTCAGATGCCAAGCTGAATATTCGCTTACAATTCTCACTTGGATGTTCAAATCATTGTGGTTTTTTTGGCTTGTTTGTTTGGGGTTTTGTGTTTTGTTGTTCTTGTTTGGGGTTTTGTTTGGTTTTTGTTTGTTTGTTTGTTCTTTCTAATCTAGGATGAAACAGGTGCCTATTTAATAGACAGAGACCCAACATACTTCGGGCCAGTGCTGAACTATCTGAGACATGGGAAACTGGTTATTAACAAGGACCTAGCTGAGGAAGGTAAGACATTCCTAAATATCCTTTACTTGTTTACTTGTCCCTTGCTTATTATTTTCACTGCTTTTGAGTCATCAAAACTAATTTAGAACTAGATGGTAAATCTTAATCACTGTAGCATTTCAATCTGTTTCAAGCAAAGCTGATAGGCATCATGCAGTTATAGTATGTGCTGTTAGTTGAGCGTTTTGAGTATGATTCCTATTTTCACAACCCCTATAAGTATTCAAACTGGAGGGAAGATGGCTTTTATTGTATAGTCTTGTATCTTTCATTTATGACTGTGTGAAATATTTGGGTTTAGTCCTCTTCAAGCAAAAGAATGCTGCCTGGGAAACAAGCTTTAGAAGATGTAAATAAAAGTAAGAGTGAAGTTCTGGGATGTTCACAACTGTGGAATATGCTCTTGAAGACTAAATTCTGCTCTCAGCTTCTTCCTCCCTGTCCCCAGTTTGTAACAATTTTGCCCTAATGGAGGACTGTTTTAAAACATATAGTACTAAAACTGTATTGATAAGGTATTGAAGAAATTTTTCAAAGAGAAATACAATTTAACAATATTAGCAAGAAATAGTATGAAATATAATTTCCATGTGCACTGTTAAGCACATACTGCGTGTGAAGAACAGGTAAGACTTGAACATATGAGTTGAAGCAGTAACTTTAAGCTTTTGTTTCAGGACCTAAGATCTCAAATGACAGGAAGAAAAATTTCCTGCATGCTAGCAGCTGCAGAGCTTTTCAGTAGGATTATTTGAATTTCTCTTTTGCATTCCAACCAGAGGCAGGGCCTGAGCTATGGTGGTCTATCAGTCTGCTATGGAATGGTATCTGTGCTCCTTTTTTTGTTTCCTGCCTCATTCTGTATGTGAAATGGCATCCGTTTTCTTTAAGGGTTTTTCAGGACAATTTTTTAGAATGAGCTAAACATTGAACTATCTGTGCCTGAAGGAGGAAAGAATCATTAAGTTGGTAAATTATCTTATGGGTAAAATAAATAATTTTCTATAGCTGTAGAGAGGATAATCTTAGGAACTGATTGGTGATTTTGTTCTGGAAGCTTTGGTTACACTGTCTTTCCAAAAAATGTTTTCATACTAGGTGTACTGGAAGAGGCTGAATTCTACAATATCACATCACTAATAAAACTGGTAAAGGACAAAATAAGGGAAAGAGACAGCAAAATCTCACAGGTGAGACTGTTTTCTAGTTTGCTTTTGATTATTTGTTCTATGACAAGCACTGGGTGGGTTCCATTTGTTTTTTATGTAACTGCTCATTTCCCCAGTAAGATACTGAATGGCTGCCTCCATCTCTGGATGAGCTGTAACCCTTAGTATACAAAGATTAATATTCTTAATTTCTGACTCCTGCCAGTCTACTTGCAAAGTTCACAAATCTTGTTCAAAACAAGAAAACCATCTAAATAATTGTTCCAAAATGTCTGATAATAGTAGAATTTGTCATAATATCATTTCTGCAAGTAGTTATTTTAGAGAACAGCTTTTTTAGAATATGTCTTTCTCATTTGCATTTAAGTACTCTGAATATGATGAGGTTGCCTAATTATGGTACAACTGCTGTTTATACAGTATGTTTATGCAGCATGCATACAGATGCTATTTAGCTCCTGTCATACGTTTCTGTAGCAAAGTTAGTTTATTTGTAGTGCTCTGTGGTTGAGAAGGCTGCTGCTTCTCATAGCAGCTCATGAATATTTCTCCATGGAAGTGAATACAATAGAGAAAGTTTGTTCTTTAACTCTGCTACTCTGACCTTCTTTTGTAACTGAGTCTTCATAGAGATATTCCAAACTCATGTTGCCAAATTTCTGTTGAAGTCAGGATGTGGGATCACAGGGTTGCTCTGATAGCATTTACTAAAGGTCTCAGCTAAAATGGTCCTAGTCATTCATTGCTCTGCATGGGTTCAAGGTGGTGTTGCTTATCATTTCTAGAAAGTAAAGGCTGCTTCAGACAACTCACAAACATGGTGAATTCCATGACCTATTGAGCATCTTATATTTCTTCTTGAAGGTGCCAGTCAAACACGTATACAGAGTGCTGCAGTGCCAGGAAGAGGAACTCACTCAAATGGTTTCCACAATGTCCGATGGCTGGAAATTTGAGCAGGTAAAAAACCCATATGGGTTTTTATAGTTACAAAGTCTTTTAAAAGATCAGTTTTGTGGAAAAGGAGTATAAAATAAATTAAATTCTGTGCATCTTTTGTCACTCAGTCATTTTCAGAATTTGCATATACATACACAGTTAAGTTAAAATCTGATACTTGCATTCATATTTGTCATAGAACAAAAATGTAGCTTTCCAGGAGGTAAATTGTGCTGACTTTCTTTAAAAACATCTGCATCATGTCTGAAATGTAATTCTTCAGTGTCTACACATGAGCAGTTGAAGGGTGAATCAACCAAAATTATCCAATAGAAGTTTATGTGAATGGTAAGTTAGATATAAAGAGCTCTGGGTAAAAAAAGGTGAGCTTGGAAGATAAATGTTTGTCAGGCCCAAAGAGTGATTGTTCAGATAAAAAACTGATAGACATAGGAGGGTGGACTTCACCAGTGTGGATGTGGAGCTGGATAGCTGTGAGCTATGTGAATGTTCTTTGCACTGTATAAAAATAGCTTTATGTGTACATTCAAGAATGCATTGTAAAATTGCAAGGAGATCTTTCTGTTATTTTTGCTAATCTCTGTAAATAAGAAACTAACTGTACAACTCTGTCATCCTTCACATTCCTAACCTGGAAGAATATTTAACTGCACTGGAACAATGAATCTGTTAACTCTGAGACACGAGTGCTCAGCCACTAGCACCTTTTTCAGTGTCTGATGCCTACTGTAGGAGAGATTGGAATAAGCACAAGTCCGTTATCCTGTGCAGTCTCACTCTAATAATACAACAAAGCAACATTTTTAAAATGTTCAGGACACAAAGGTAAAAGAGAACATTTTGTTTATATTTGATGAAATGTGTAAGGTGCTGGTGTCATGGAGACATCCTGACCAAGCAAACTCAGCCGACACAGAGACAGCTTTTTATTCTTCACTTCTCTGGCTCAAGTATTACCAGGTCTGTTTGCCATGCTAGGAGGTGGTCGTTGTTGAAGTTCCTGTAAAAAGCTCTCACTTAATGCACATGACTTTTTGACCAGTGCATTGACAAAGGTTTTTCAACGTTCTTCTTTGTCATGAGAAACTAGCTTTCATTACAAACAGAGATTCTTACTTTTTAAAAGATTAGATGATACCATGGCTTTTACCTATCCTGAACCCTTACGGCCTTTGGGAGTAATACTGGTTTGACAGTGCAGCTTCTGAAAGAACTGTTATAATCTCTTTTAGAACTGGAAAATTCCAGGGGTTTTCTTGAACATTACGCCCTTGTTTCATTCAGCTTTCTTCCCGCTTCCTCCCTCTCCCATGTTGCACTCTTTTAGACACATAGTTTGAAGTAGATAAAGACAATGTCTGTATGATCTTATAATACTCAGCATCTTATTACCTCACACTAGACCATTCCCTTCTTTGGTTGTGTTGGAGACCTGCTTTTAGCAGACAGCATTCACTTGCAACAGGATTAGTATATTCTGTATAATGTGAATAGTTTTATTGTGAAGGTCTGAGAACACTGTAGCATTTCTGTAATTTTTTATCTTTTCTAAGCCCATGTTGTTCAGCAGCATGCTTCCTTCAGAAGTTTTTGGGGTGGTATCCACCACACTTCGTACCTAAAAAACACTGAAATCATCAGCTTTTTCAGAGGAGTGATATTCCTATGGATTGGGAGTCCTTGTGCTCTGAGCCCCATGCAATATGTCTAAGTGGTTGGTTTTGATCAAAACCATTTCTTTCCCCTTAACATTTCAAAATTTTATTGTAAAATATGATTGGATGTGGTAATTGAATAGAAGTGGAAGGTGCTGAACTTTTGGTGCACTTATGCAGATGTTTTAATGCCCTTTTCCAAAGAGTGTGAGGAAAAGCTTTGCTAGAACAGTACAGTTATGTATTACCCCCAGTTCAAAATCTATTACCAAAAATTATGGTGCCCTACTTTTCTGATTTCAGTGGGTTATTTTGTAGAGGACTTTTTAGCTTCAATTGTTACTGCTTCAGGCCATCAGAAAAAGGCAATATTTTGGCAATACAACATCAGAAACTTTGGACTATACAAAATCGGTACATACAAAGGTTTTAAACAGCAGTGGTGTTGGTCATGTCAGTTTTAATGATCAATATGACCTGAGTCTGTCACCATAATGCAGTCTTAAACATGTTCACAGTATGAGGAGAACGATATTTAGCTGCTGCCTTCAAAATTATTCCCATAACAATATCAGGATGCATATAAATTTACTGTTCATGGGCCTCCTTATCTATGTCAATCTCCAGTTTACTCAGAATAGGCAGTTGTTGTGTAGCTCTTCACAATTTAAAGCTCTGATCTTTCTCAAGGGCACTGACAGGTATGCTTTAATTTAAATGGGCTAGGAATTGCTATGTATTATTAAGGTAAAATATTTTTTATAGTAACAAGTTGAGAAATTTAGCTGAGGTTATGCTGAATTTTGAATTATTAGATGGTTGGCAAATGTGACCAGAGTTCTCGGTAGTGGTTTTTACGGGAACAAGACAGACACTTTTTTTTCCACTCCAGTTATTTTCTTGGATCACCCCTTCTGAAAGCAACTTAGAGCACCCAACTTTTTTTCCTCTAGTTGACTTCATATGTTTCCTTAGCTATATTTTGTTTATCAGTATTTGGAATAAGATGAAGCTCTTTTGTACCCAGGTTTGATATATTGCTTTACATAACACCTTCCAGTCTTATATCCATGTTACCTTCTCCACTTGGCAAGTATGACAGGGAAATAATGCTCACTTTCATAATGCACTGAACTTTGTTTATGTTTTTCAGAGTAGTTGGCTACATCACAGTAATATGGGGAGTTTTCTGTCTTACTATCGGTAACTCTTAACTTCCCTTGAAATTACAAAGGGCTTTGCAGCTGCCACAATAATTATTTTATGTGGAAATGAAGTCGTAGCTTGATAGCAACCTGTTCTAGTGGCAAGTAAATATAACCTAAACATTTCAGCTCATCTGTTAATTGTACGATTTGGATAATGGTATGTGCTTCAGCTTTACAAAGGTTTCTTTTTGTGTTTTGCTTTGATTGGTTATTTCAGCTTGTCAGTATAGGTTCCCAGTACAGCTGTGGCCGGGCTCAGCAGTCAGAGTATCTGCTGATAGTGTCACGGGAAGTGAAAGGGGAAGAGAGATGCTTCCAGAAATGCTGCAGTGAGGTGTGTCACACCATTCTTTTTGCCCTCACACTGATATGCTTGGCCTCCTTGCGTTTCTGCTGCTTTCAAATCATTCCACTTTATTCCTGGATGTACAGCACGTAGTAATTTGTGTGTATTTGTGACTGGTTTTTATTTATATTCACAGTATTTCATTATACATTATGAATGTTCATATTGTAAAAATAATAAAAAAAAACCAAACAAAAATCCCCTCGTTATTTAGTTAAACATTTTTCTTAAGAAGGGTCCTTACCTTCTCAATAGGTGACTTCTTTTCCTTAAATCTACTTCTGAAGTTAACAGCCTTTGATCCATACTTGTTAACTAAGAGGGGTACAGTTCAAACCTTACAAACCCTGTAAATACAGTTTTGAGTTCAGTGGGTTCGGAAGGGGACATTTCTGTGTTATGGTCAAACTGGGATGATGATTATTTCATCCACCAAATAGCCAGTTAAGTTCTGAGTTTGAACCCTTTCTTTCTGGTAACTCAGAACTTAGCTGTTTTTTAGATGGATGAAATATGTTCAAACTGGAATAACAAATAACAGGAATTTTTCATATGGAGGAGTGAGAGGAGAACAAAACAACCAGTTTTAAATTTTGTCTCAAGTGAAAAAAACATCCCGGGTGGCTTTTTGGCTTTATTGGTTTGTTGTTTTGGGTTTTTTCCATCTTGGGACGTTTTCTTGAAACCCAAATGGAGAATCCTAACTTCAGTCATTGTTTTTTTAGGCTCTTCCTTCCTTCTCCCCTTGTTCTCTTTTCACTGCTTTTTTAATTGCTTTGTTGCTTCCAAATATTCATGAGTTTGGGAAGGATTTTTTGCTAAGCAGTAACACTGGAGGATTTTTTGCTTACCAGTAACCATTGCTAACTGGTTAGCAAAAAATCCAGTCCTTTACATATCTGTGCTCCATTTTGAAGTGTCATATGTGAATTAATTTGGGAACCTCGTGCTCTGTAGTATTTTTCATCAATAAAATGCTTGGAGTACTTGTTCTTTTCCTTGCTATATATATGGTTATTCAGTCTGAGAGATGAGTATAACATCATGAAGATAACATGATTGTGAAGCGGTTTGATAAAAGCAGAGCTTTGTCTATGACTTTACATGAACACTTAGCCATGCAATTCTAGATTTTAAAACTGGACTGTTACCTCGCTGTATTCCAGAATCTGCTTTTGATGTACCAAGCACTGTCTGTTTCTTTGAGTTGTATAGGTAACATTTGGAATGTGGAATTAATACTGTGGGTTTGCAGACTTTCTAAAATAGAATAAGAATTGCAGCTTGTTAGGCACGTGTAGGGTACAGGCAGCATGATGTTATTCATATGTTCATGTCCTAGATAGCTCAAAGGAAAATTCAGCATCATAAAATGGAATATGGGGAAGGCAGTGAAGAAATGAATTCAGGTATAAAATGAAAATAATAATTAAAAAAAATTGAAGCTTTGAAGTCTGATAGTTACTTTAAGAGTCCTGTAATAAATGTGCTTTCAGGCCTGGTGTCAGTCAGCAGTGCTGAGTTTAAGAGCTGATGTGTCTGTATCTTTATAAACTTTTGCAAATCCTTTGAGAAGGAAGTAGAACAAATGCAGTATAACTCTAAAAGGCATAGAGGCCATTCTTAGAGTCATACAACTTGATTCTGTAAAAAAATAATGAGGGGAGGATTTTCTTTTATTCTGTCAACTCTTAGTATAATTAAAAAAAAACATAATCTGAAATATTTTGACTATGCATTGTAACATCTGTTTTGCAGACCTCAGATTACTCTGATTTGTTGTGGGTTCTTTTTTTGGGGGGGTGAGGCTTGGTGGTGTGGGGATGGTGGACGTGGGGGGGGCAGTCTTCCAGTTTATCAGCATCTTTCTCGAGGTGTTGCCACCAACACTGGGAACAATGGGGTGACTTTTGGAATAGGAGTGGTAAAACATTGCTTTATTTCTGATCTTAATTCCTAACACAACGGTTCAGTTCTAATCTGCAGTCATTTTCCATTGTTACTTTTTCTGCCTTCAACCTTATTGCTGATGCATTTCAAAAAGCTCCAATGAAATTTCTAGCATGCTGTTGATACTACGCAAATTATAGATTCTTAGCTGCACACATACAAAACTGCTTATGGGAGTATCATGAGTTGGAGTTTTGGGGAACTTGGGTTTAATGTTGCAAAAGTGACTTTATCTTGAAATGCACCAGCTGATCAATAATGACAAAAAATCATCAGATGTTTTGCAGTCAGCTAAATCCACAATCCTGTCCAACTGGCTAATAAGTATTCAGTCTACCATGTCTTCTGAAAAGACTTACATGCAAAAGGTTAACTTATCTGGTTGTATTATGAAGCATTAGCAAGTAATTATCAACTGAGAACCTGTCAGCCTGGATGAACCAGGATTGATGATTTGGCTGATGTTTGGATTTTGTACGGTATCTACTTTCAGAGAGATCATTTATTTCTTTAGAGGGTCAATAAATAAAGAAGTATTTTTCCTTCTGCTAGTTACCACAGCTTATCTGATAGTGAGCTGTTGCCATTTTGCAAGAAGAAGAGTTGACTCTATACTAATCACATTGTATGCTTGAATTTTATTCAAATTTCTCTTCAGAGAAAGTGAATTTTTTGTGGCTTTATTTAAACATGTATTCAACTTTCGGAACATTTTCTAGCCTTTAAGTGGATTAAAAATACTGTTTAATGTTCTACCTTTTACCTCAATAATTGAAGCAGTTACGGTATTTGTATTAAATGGTTTGTAATTGCAATATAATATATAGGATAAACTGTATACCACTTTGTTGGGTTTAGAACCAACTTAACTGCTATTTTTTCTGAAACTTTGTGTAATATATTTTTTGTTGATAGAGAAGACAATCAAAAAGTCATCTCAATATATGAAGTAACTTTGTGTTGATTTTCCTGCTCTTCAGTAGATTTTCTTAGTCCATTTTGTTCCACTAAGAAAATAGTTACTTTGTAGGTTTTGTGATTCTGTATTACACAAATATGGTATGGTGCAGACTGCAGAGTATCCATCGTGGAAGATTAGCTGACTTAATATCTCAAGGTAAATAAATGGTGCCTTTATATTGAGGATGCATTGGTGCTTCTAAAAAACCTGGGGTTTTGTAACTTCATAACACAGTTTTGGTGGAAAAAAATGTCTTTAACACATTAATTTTTGATCAGCCTGTGTTCATTACTGACTGCATATGTATTTTGCAGAACTAGAGCAATGTTAGGAGAGGAGGAGGGAGAGAAAGGTTTCTGGTGATCACACTCAGACAGTGTAGTTAAAGTACATAATTTGAGAATGATGAATTTTGATGGCCAGTTCTGTTCATGGAAGGCTGAGCCTTGTATGCTGTAATACCATCAGGGTCCAAAAACGTTGACATTGCCTAGGCCTGGAATCAGCTTGGTTCTTTGTGCAGACACAGTGGCTGCTGTTCTCTGTAGCCATCAGCTCTGTCCTCCTGTGGAGCTGCTTGTTTGGCTGTCTTACCATAGTGCAGGAACATCTGAACATCTCTCTCCTCAGAAGTACAAAGAAGCTTTATTTTCTCCTGACAGTGCTATATGGAAGCTGCTTTTAACCTTCATCTGACTTCCACTTTTGTTGAGGGAATATTCCCTCAAATACAGACTCTGGATGAAGATTTCATACTGACTGCACCTTCCATGCTTTAACAAGGCTTTTACTCTCTGTGGTGTTCTGCTAGACTGATGGCAGTACAGTGTTTGTCTTTACACAGATAACCACAGTGTTTCAAGTGCTGTTGCCCTAAAAACCAAGTCAGGCCTTTTCTACGGGGCCATTTCCAGAGCACTTTAATGATACAGTAGAGATTGTGGAATATTGGCCTTATTGTACATGTGTGATGATTTGATAGGTGGATTCAATATACTTTTGGTAATGACATTTAGATACAGTATCTCTGCAACTGGTTGATTTTTAGGATTGGATCTGAGTCAGTGGTAATAGCACCATACATTATCTTGTCATGCTTTTGAAATAAAACTTTAATATAAGTGAACCAGCTGCATCTGAATTGATTCTGTCTTGGAAAGGCAGGCTATGTAAAGCTTCTAGCATTAGGTAAGTGCATTGTGTGTAAAGTAAGACAATTTCTGCCATTTGATAAACATCTGCTTAAGAGATAGTACTGATATTGAGTATATCCTTCTTTCTCAGTAAATTGTCATTTATCATTCAATATAGAGACTTGTAGAAACTTGTAAATTCGTCACATTTCATTATACATGGCTTTCGCTTGTAGCGCTTCCTTAATTAACTTCCTTGTAGCAGTACATATGAATTTCAGATGTTAATTGGTGTCCCACCATGCTGTGTCTTGCTGTTTTCCAATCAAATGCAAATTTTGTTTTTGTCCATTCAAAATATGTTTTAATAGAATACCATTATTCTACATTATTCTGTAGAAATAGATTATTCTGTAAGTGGTGGTGGGGATCTCTTCAGCTTCCTGCATGCAGGCGTTTACATGTTAAATCATCCATGTTAAGATACCATATACAAACTTTTAAAAATTAACTTTGAAGGATAGGAAGGTTCCCAGTAAATAACAGAAACAGAACAGGCTGCTTCTCCACTGGCCTGCCTCTGTAGCCTTTTCTTTCACAGTATAATCATAACTGTAAATCATTAGTTCTGTAATTGTTTAAAAAGAAAAGCTGTGTTTATCTTATCATCAGTGTCAGTGTATTTGTCAACATCAAAACATATTTGCATTGAAGTGGAGAATCGTGCTTCAGGCACAACCAACAGTGAAGAGTGAGGATTATTTTTACTAAAGGTGAGACTTTATGGGATTTTATTTTATGTGGAAATGTAATTGACTTTTTTTTTTCATCTTTCAGCTGGTCAGTATTGGTTCTTCCTATAACTATGGCAATGAAGATCAGGCTGAATTTCTGTGTGTTGTCTCAAAGGAATTGCATAACACTCCATATGGCACAACCAGTGAACCCAGTGAAAAAGCAAAGGTAAGCTGCTAGACATTGGACTAAAAAAGTGATGTTGAATTGGGTGAGCTTCACAAAGTCATGCTAGATCTACCTCTGTTCTGGACCATTATTTAATTGCCTTTTTCCTCCTTGCTCGTGACAAATTCTCTGTCCATTGTATGAGAGACTGTAAATTGTACAGGTAGCATGCATTAGTTATGCATGCATGGATTATTTAAATACAATACTCTGTACTTTTTCAATACCTGTTTTTTACAGTTGAGAATCTAGGTTTTGTTTCTTATATGTTTGAATGCTTTCTTATTCTGCCACTGGTTCAGTTGAAAACTTTTTCTTACTTGACTTCAACTGGAGAAATCTTACTGTCAAGAATGGAGCTTGTAAGATGCTATCTCTGTAACAGTCATGTTCAATATGTTATAAGATGAAGGTACTTGTTAGCTTAATGTTTTCAGGGTTCTACTTAATTATCTTTACTTTCTGTAACAAACTTTACAAAAAGATTGTAATGGGCACAGTATCTTAGCATTTTACTCGGTTGTCTTTCAGAGTTTGTACAAGGGAAAATACAAAATCGCAGCTGACTAGTAATAAGGCGGAGCAGTTCTGTAATGTAGGTGTATTCTCTGTCATGCATAGTGAACAACTTTTATTAATGTATTGCTGCATTGTATGAGGAGATGACTACAGGCAAACTGGACACTTCTGTATCAAAAGCTTTTGATTTCATATATGTAGATGGAAAACAATTGGTGAAACATCAAAGGTTGCTTTTTCAAAGAATCACCTTTGAAAAAATTAATTTTGAAATAGTGGATCCCAGTCTTGGCAGTGAGGCCTCAAATAGATAAAACCTCATTGCTTTCTGTGCTGTGTAACGTGCTTATGTAGCTACACATGTGGAGTCATTTTATAATATGCATTATAAAGATACTCCAAGCTTTATGTTGGATTTCTAGTGAAATAAATAATGTATGTTCTTTTATCACTGTTGAGATAAAACTTCCAAAGAATTATAAAGGTTTAATGTAGTCAAGGGTAAACAGTGAAACTGGTACTCTTTTCAAAACCCTAGTCGAGGTCTGCTTTTGCCAGAATGCTTCAGGAAAACTTTGACAAGTTAGAGCTGTGTGATAGTAATTTAGGACTGAGATACCTACCTGAAATAAACCATGGAATTCTAAAGCCTAATAAACATCTTCATAAGGAATGGTAGTACATCTTCAGGGAATTTCAGAAGTTGCCAGAGTTACATTGCATCGTTACATGTAAAAGAAAAAATGTATCAAATGAAAGCGTAAAAGGCTAAATAGAAAAGCTAGTTCAGACTGCAATTCAACTGTGTAAATTGAGTAGCTCTGAGAAAAGCTGTCTTAGACCTCTCCATTGCTGTTCTGCTTGGTCATTGTTTCAGAGATGGGAGCAGAGCATAATTTGACCAGGGTGATGAGTAAGAATTACTGTTAATTTTGGTTGGCGATAAAAATATTCACTCCTTTTGTCCTGGAAGAATTGAGCTGTTGCTAGCAATTAATAGGCAATACTTGCAGAATAATTTTTATATATTGTGTTTCTAATAGATCAAATTTTTTTTACATAGGTATATGCTGTGACTGGGAAAAAGAATATTTCTTGCTTGAGAGGTTTCTGACAACTGTGTTCAGGAATCTTGACTGAACCTCCAGAACTGTTACGCCCATAGTTCCCTCTTAGCATTATCCTCTAGTCTGCAAAATGTTCAGTAGTGTCTGAGTTGGTCTTCATGAAGTTCATGGGACTGAAATTCTGGTATCCACTGATATATACAGAATAATATGTTTAGATGACTTTTAGATGCCATGATAAAGTCTTCCTAATACTTTTACGGCAGGTTGGGTTAGAGAAAAAAACCCTGCCAGTATGTAATTTTTGTTGACAAGCACTTCAGTTTTAGTTAATAGTCCTAGACTTTCAGAATTGGAAAAAGCATTTTCTGATAGCCATCTAATCAAGCTTCACCTTCATGCCTTCCTAGAGACTGTTTTCTTGTGTTTTCTTAATCAGCACAGTAAGTTAGTAGATGATTCTGTGTAACCTTGTAATTTACCTAAGCAAAGAAAATTGGTCTTGAATGGTTCCAGTGGCTTTTACTGGTAGCTGTGGCACTATCCCACAGGCATTCTTCTCTTTCATATCACTTTATTGACCTAGCACTCTTGGGACAAAGGACCAAAACTTGTTCATAATGTCTGCATCCAAAGTTAGATACTAGTATTATCCTTTTGCATCCCTGGTGAAGAGTACGCAGAGTTAAGGTACCACCTTTACAGTTTTATTTAACTTATCTCTATACTTACAGTCCTTGTTGTTATGTTGTATGGCACTATTGGCTTCTATCTGCTAGTTTTAGGACATTTGGAAAAGGAAATTTTCATGAAATCTGTTATGTTCGTTCTTGAAATTGCCAGCTGTCATATTTTTTTACTAAGAGTGGGGGTCCCAGGTAAAAGTAAATAAATGTCATTACCAGATGCTTCAGCTGTAAGTGGACTGTGCTTTTTTGCAGCTCTGACTCACTTGCAATCTCTTCTTTTCCCTTCCTTTTTGTATGCTTGCTGCATGCTGCATGACACTCAGAGTGAGGATGAAGAAACGGATTACGATATGAATGACTCAGATTAAGTGTAAATGTCATGGTGAGCACTAGCTGCCCTAGGATTTTAACCAGATGCTTTTCTGCCCCATCCAGTTCCCACCCCCACTAGTGCTGTCTTTTGGCTAGTCCTGGTGGTGTGTGTGTGTTTGTGATTATAGTTGTAGCATGGTTAGCAAAGATAGACTTCCTGTTCTGGATTATTGCTGCTTTGACAGAGTAATAAGTGTTGCTTTTACAAACTGTATTGTGATTCGTTCCTTTAAAGCCTTGCTGAGAAGGAAAGTTCTTCATATAGATTGTAGGGTCAGAATTGCTTTTCATTTTATTTCACATACACCACCTTTTCTGCCTAATGGGTTTTTATGTGTAGAGGCATCTGATACAAACTTACAGTATACATTTTCAGTAAATGTTTGATTTAGCAATAATTTAGCAAACTTGACTGAAGTACAGCGTAGTCCAAAGGTGATCTTATCTGATAATTTTGAAATTAATAATTTTTTGAATTGAGATATAGCAAATACAAGTAAATAGTACGATTGTGATGCAACAGGAAACAACTCTCTGGGGAGGGATTCTTTCCACTGTTGTTTGACATCTGATACAAGATCGAGGTACTTTACAAGTCACAAGTAGAAGAGCACAAAAAAAACTTGCATCTGAAAGAACCTTTTCCTAACGTGTCTGCGAGCACTGCTCATATTTATTCTGCTCTCCAGTTTCTAGAAGATAACATACCATTGAATGTTCAGTGGTACAGTGTGGGTAGTCACATGAGCCTGTATAAATCAAAGATATTTATCATTGCATGAGATGAAACTTCAGCTTCTCACCTATACACCTGAATTTTTTAGCTGTAAAGCAGCCTTATATTTATCTCTGAAGTTTGGATAATGCCCACAAGTATATGGTGTGATTCCTGAGGTTTTCCTGTGCAGGGCCAGGATCATCACTTGATGATCCTTGTGCGTCCCTTCCAACTCAGGATATGCTATGAATCTGTGATTCTGTGAAGTTGCTTCACATGGCTGAAGAAAAACCTACATTGTTTTCTTAAGTGATGCTAACAGAAACTACTGCTACAGTAGAACAAGACCTTTTGCCAAGTCTTCAGGAATGGCTGAAGGGAATTAATCAAATCTGAAGCTTTCTTGAAAAAAGTAAACTGGCACTATGCTGGAATCACATGTAATATTCTTAAGCTGGCTGAGAGGCAAACATTCCTTAAAACACTGTTCTAGCCACAGCACCTTTATTTTGAGTGGGAGGAAATAGTTCTCATGTTCTGCTTCCCTAAGAAGCAATTGCACTCAGGCCTCTAGAATATGAGAGTTCATTCAGCATTGTTTAGAATGTATAAGTCAACTTTGGATCTGGTGCACCTGTAGGGAAAACAGAACAGAAATGTGAAAACTAGGGTTGGGACAGTCCGAAGTATGAGTACAGACTGAGTGACAGATGGGTTGACTGAAGAGGACTTGGGAATACTGATGGGTGAAAACTTGGATATGAGGCAGCAATACTTGCAGACTAGAAAATCCATTATCAAGGATTGCAACAAAAGCAGCATGGCCCACAGGTTCAGGGAAGTGATTCTCCCCCTCTACTCCACTCTCATGAGATCCTGCCTGGAGTGCTGCATCCAGCTCTGGGATTCCTACAACAAGAAAGACATGGACCTGTGAGACTGGGTCCACAGGAGGGACATGAAAATGGTCTGCGAGCTGGAATACCTCTCCTGTAAAGACAGGCTGAGAGAGTTGGGATTTTTTTTCGCCTGGAGAAGAGGAGGCCCAGGGGAAATGTTATTGCAGCCTTCCAGTACTCAGAAGAGCCTTATGAGAAAAATGGAGAAAGACTTTTTTACTGGGGCTCATAGTGAGAGGACAAGGGGCAATGCTTTTGAACATTGGGTTCAAATTTTTGAACCAGTTGTTTTTGATTGGGTATAATGATGAACATATTCTTTAGTATGAGGATGGCGAGGCCCTGGCACAGGTTGCCCAGAGAAGCTGTGGCTGCCACATCCTTGGAAGTGTCCAAGGCCAGGTTGGACAGAGCTTGGAGCAACCTGGTCTAGTGGAAGGTGTCCCTGCCCATGGCAGGGGATGGAACTTGATGATCTTTAAGGTCCCTTCCAACCCAACCCACTCTGTGCTTCTTTGATTTCCCCTTTAGTAGAGACAGAGGTTACCGAAGAAGTAGCAAGAAAAGTGTGTTAAAATATTGCCTAATATGATAGAATGTTCTGCTTTACATTGAGTTTACTGCTCAGTAAAGTGTGCAAAGTTCAGTGTCCAGATCTGGCTTAGCTTTATCTTATTGCATGTGCTCCTACAAAAAATAGTTCCAAGTCTATTAATCTTGTAAGTACTTTTTATTTTCTAGGAAAGAATGCACTCTTCTGCTTCCAATATTAAATTTGAAAGATTAGCAACATTAATAGATCGAATATTATTTTCCAGCTGCACAGGTATTTGTGTCAGCCATGGTTTTGTCTCTGTTGGATATGGTTTCACTTACTGACCACATTTGCTGGGTCAGACCGTTAGCCACTATTCTACTCCAGCACTTGTTCTCAGCTGTGACCAACAGCAAATACTTGAGGAAAGAGTCTTAAGTATGAAGCATTTATGGTGTTTACTCCTGAGACATTTCCCCACCTTCCAGTAAACCTCAGTTTAGGAATTTTGGCTTCAAGCCTTCATCCAGAAGATTGTATGGAAGCTACGATGACACTGTAACACCTTGAGTCAGTATCAGTGGCATTATCTTCTGTAAGTTTGTCTAGTCCCTTTTGAATTTATTATACAAGCAGTTGCTGAGTAATCTACAGAGGCTGGCTTTTCCTCACAGAATTCACTTGTATCTTTCCTATAGTTTCATATGAATTGCTTTTTCCTTAGTACTCATAGTAAATTATCCTCATGAAATAAGCAATGTTTGCATCTAAAAGATACCCAAAAACATGTTGTGTCCCAGGGAAAACATCTTTCTGTCTCAAGAAGCAAAAGAAAATGAAGTATCATGAGAATTTACTTGCAGATTAACATTCTTAAGTACCTGTGCTGAGTACGTTTGAAGCTTTGCTTAATGATGTATTTGGCTACTGTCATGATTGGTTCTATAGCCTGCTGTCACAGTTCTAGAGTACTTCTCAGCCCGAGGGTTAACCTCATTATTGGTGGTTGCCATTCAGTTTAGAGCAACAGCATGAAAATATTGTTGCTTGGACAACCAGTCCTAAGACTTGATCCTTTCCTCACTGGAGGAACCAAACAAAACTGAAACAGAAAAGGAGAAAAAATACTCAGACTGGAAGTAGAATAGGTGGTCTTCATGTTGTTGGTTTAAATCTTGCTGGGTTGTTCTCTTGGCCTTTGAAAACTTCCTGCATCATCTCACCCAGCGTGCCATTTTTGCACATTGTGATTTGCTATTTCATGTTTTCAGTACTAATTTGTGGAACATAATTTGCATCTGAAACTTCAGAAAGTTAAGGATATTTTACTGGAACAGGAAAAATGCAAATTAAATTAAACTTCTAATAAAGTACCCAACTTCATTTATCACACAGGACCTAAGGATCTTCAGAACTAGGATGAGGTGCAATGGCTTACTTTTTACTTTTGCCAACTCTTAAGCCTTGGTTATATTAATACTCAGTTCCTAGCAGTCTTTTAGATCTGTTTTAATGGTGTCTGATAGTAGACATTGTACATATCAATCTGTCTTTTTTCAGCTTTAATGTACAAACTCCAGGAATGTCCTTGAACCAGGTCCTTGACACTTTACGGGTTATCTGAAATAGTCATTATGTTGCTCTTTGACCTCCATGCTTTAGGAATGACATAGAGCTAATTTTCATTTATAGATTTTTTATTGGTCTATTTCAGATTTTGCAAGAACGAGGTTCCAGGATGTGAAGACAGTATTGAATGGTGACAATTTTTTCACTTTTATTCGAAGATGCAGTGAATTGTCACACTGAAGAGGCTTGGCTGCAAAAGGAAAAATCTGATTTAGACAATTTTTTGTTGATCTGGGTTCAACCATTTTTGTCTATAAACTGGATGTCAACTGGCTGGAAGCATTGCAAGATTACATAATGGGAATAGATGGTGTGGGAGTGTGTGTTAAGTTTTGGTTGTAGTGCATGGTCGTACTCTCTTGTGGGCTGATTGACACTGGTCATTTGAAAAGAAATGACCATGCACTCATATTTTCCTTGAAGACATGTAGCACTTAATGTCTGGTGCTGGATGACCCAATGTTGATCAGTCTGGAGATATTTTCCTACTAATTGTTGTAAACCTTAAAAGGACAATGCAATTGGTGCTACACACACTCACACACACACACACACACAAGCATTACAGCCCACAAATGCAAGTATTTGGGCCTACATTGTTTCAGAATCAGTGGCAGCCCCAGTTGACTGTGTTATACTGCACATTCCTTTTGGCTCTGTGACATACTCTATTATGTAATAACAGCCTAGGAGATCAACTGAAACTAGCACGTGAAAAAAATTACACAACAGAAAAAAGGTTTCTCTGGAGGAAGGGTGTATATATTGACTGGATTTATAGCATATTTTATCACCCAAAGGGAAGACTAAACTCAGAGAAAATGGCCTTCATCTGAGTTATTCTTGATGTTCCTTCTGTTAAAAGTCTCCTGCAAAAGTTATGCTCCAGTCTTAGCCAGATGCTTGAAAGGGGAATCAAAATTCACTTAAAATGACCAACTGAACATTCTGTTTCTTTTGAGATATTTATACTCATATGTGTGTTTGTGCTTTTATAAAATGCCTATAAGCATTGAACTATGTGGTAGAGATTTTTCTAGAGCTGGAGGTTTTACAGAAGTATGGCAGGGTAGTCCTAGGTCCTTGTCACTATGACTGGGATTAAAATCAACCTTAGTGTGAACACAAGCTCATCCAATTGAAAAACATGATTACTTTGGACATTCAGGATACCTGTAATCAACCTTTCTCTTTCTATACAGTTTCAACTATGCAGTTAAAGAAGAGTGTTTAAAAAAATCTGGTGCAGCTTCATTAGTTTGTCCTTGATGAAGGCTAATACACTAGACTGGAGCTTTTTAATACACTATGTTTTCAGCAAAATCTTTAGCGCATCTTTAAAACACTTAATGAAATGGACAGTATAAAACTCGGCTTCATTAACTTATGGAAGCAGTGGAAGGGAGTTTCAAAAAGCTACAAGATTGTTTTGAATTCTAAAGACATTACAGTTTTCATTCTCAGTAATTTCAGAATTTATGCATAAACTGTACGTTATCCTTTACTCAAAAGCCTGATTTTCAAACATCCAGGGTCTACTCTTTTTTTTTTATTACTTTTTTTTTAAAGGACTTACACATTGATAAAAGTTTGGCAGAGAACAATTTGTAAAAAACATTTCTACTGAGCAGGTTAAGCAATGGGCTAACTGTTTTGTCTATGCCTAATGCTTGAAAGGGTTTGTACTGCGTTTTGCGACTTGGATGTGGTCTGCACAGGAAGCTGCTGGCCCCTCCACAACACATACAATTTTTGTCTTTTTTTAAGAAGTTAAAACGGACTTTAATTTACTAAAAATGTAATTGTGTAGGGGGAAATGTTTATACTTTTATACTTTTTTAGGCACCCATATTTTATCAGCTTAAATTGAACACACAAATTTCCCCTAAATAGTAACAGATTATCTTGTGTATCTGAAAATAAGCATAACAGTTGTCTGTGTTAACTGCATATTAAAACATTTCCTCTGCTGCAGTATTCACTGTGTTTTTAAGCAGTATGACTCCACCAAATTCTCTGAGCTCCCCAGCTCATGGAATTGCAGCCAACCATGTTACTTGTTTTCCTGATGTGCTCTACAGAGTAATTCAGCATTGGTTTTTAATGCCTAAAATGCCTGTTTTACAATGATCCTTCTGAATCAGCATTTCTGTTTTATCTTTTATTTAACCCAAAAAAGACAGACTATTGTTTATTAAAGTGAAATTTTCCTAAATGACATCAACAAAGCATGAGTAACAAACTGAGCAAACTGAACAAATTTAGAATGTGTAAAAGAGTGGGGTTTTTTAAGTATGGGTTTTTTTCCCACTGGAGTATTTTCAGTTTTAAAACATGCTTTTTTTATGAGATTACCTGCAGTCTAGTTTACATTGTATTCGTGTCATAGCAGATTTTGGGGAAATGAGTGTTTAATCATTTTGCACTTTGTTTCCAATACCTCACAAAGATTTTAAGAAGGAAAGAGGAAAAAAAGAGAAGTTTAGTAGGCAGGTACCTTGTAAATGATTTTAAATATGCCTTTGTTTGAGACCACTTGAACTAACTACTTTTCCGTTCTTGCTACTGTCATTATTGTTTTAATTTTTGTGAACATGTGAGGCTTTCAGATAGTTGGAAATGCTATTGTCAGCCTTTTTCAAGGCATTAAGAATTGATCCCTAAATAAGTTTGGTTTCTTTTTATTTGACTTTTGCAGTTTCAATAAAGTTAGCTACAGTAACAAAGTAATTGCCTTAGAGTCCAATCCACATCACCAGGGTTTGCAAACACTGCTTCCTCTTTTAAGATCTTGCAGGATGAAGTACCGTACCAATACAGTTTAAACGGGAGTCCTTTGTTTCTTTTCTGCCATTTGGAGAGTACCTACCTGAGAACTGCCTGGGACTCTGGAGAGCTGAGGGTTCACTGACAGGCTGGAGCTGCAAAGCTGTACTGCAAACACCTGTGACCGAACTCTGAATTTACACAGCTCCTCTATTCTTACATCAGAACAGTATTCCAGGTTAGAACTTAAGATGCTAAACATGAAGAGATCATAGCGGACGGAGATAAAGCAGGAAGGGAGAGATACTAAATTCCTTAAAGGCTTTTACATGACAAAATTCTTGCAAAACTTGTTTAAAAGCTGAGAAGTTCAAATTTGCCACAGCAATTTCTTGCTTTGAGTTAGGAAACAGAGAGCGTATTGTTGGCCTTAAGTTTCCTCAGAGGCCATTTTCCTTTATCGGAAATGACATTTTTATATTATATGCTTTTGACTTCTTCAAGTGCCAAGTGAATCAGAGTTTATCAGCAATGAAGAAGTAATTCTGAGGTCTCTAAGATGTGAATGTCATATGGTCCATAATAACTGTCCAAAAGTATAGTCTGACTCAGCAGCTCCCACAGTAAACAGACAAAAGGTTACCTGGAATTTTATCCCACTCACTATGGGATTTCCATGGATTATGGCTAATTGCAGGGGGTTTATTCCACAGTAATTTAATTGTGTGTCAAAGGCCTGATTGAATTCAGAAGCTTATATTGACTCTTGACTAAAGTGTCAGTCCTCAGAATCATATACTCAGAAAATTTACAAAATGTACTGTGTTTTTTTTCAAACTCAGATAGGTTTCTTTTAATGATAAAAGTTCCTTTCATCTTGCATTGTAGGGTTAGGAAAAGATATTTCTTAAAAAAATGAAGCTCAGTGTATCCATCTTGATTTTTTTGTTTTCAGATTTTCTTTAGAGAAAGAAGTAAGAAAATCTTCTTACTTTCTTCTTTAGACAATACTTATGTAGCTCCATTTCCAGCAATGTGAATGCACAGTTATGATCAATTAGAAACAGAACTATTTCCTGCAGATAACAAAAATTGAATCAATCTCCTTTTCTCTGACAGAGGTGGTTTGTTGTTTTGTTGTGGTTTTTTTTCCCCAGGAGAAATATGAAAGCTTCTGGCAGATTAAACAAAAGAAAACTTGGTTGCAGGCATGCTTGTGGAACTAGTCTGTTGAGTAGGATGATGGTGTTATCAGAAATGTGCTTCTCAGAATGCGATTCTGTGAATATCTGTTGAGATCGTTGAGAGTTGTCAGTCTTTTTTTGAGCTGTGGAGAGCTACCACCAGCAAATTAGCATATATTTATTAAAAATTACTGGTTTTATTATTGTTACAAAAATGATCTTGGAGTGCAAAAATGCAATAGTATCTGATTCAATGAAATAACATAGAAACCGGATAACAATCATACAGGTGTACTGGAATACATTCCTTGAGAAGTACTGGGAGAAGAGTGAAGTCCTGGGCTTTTCACTAAGATCAAAGTCAAGTGAAAGAGAGTCTGGAGATGAACCCTGGAATTCTGTTCACTTGAGACGTTATAAAATCAGCAAGTGTCACTCTCATTTTATTCTCTTTCTCACCACATCAAAAGTTTCCAAGTTTTTCAAATTAACTTCTTCAATCAGCCCTGAATTATGGGGCTCTTGAAAAGAGATATTTTGTTTAGCTCAAGACAGTAGGATTAAAACCTGAGTGGTCATTGGGAAGTGTCTTTTCTAACACAACAAATTTGAAATACTTACAGTCTGAGGATGCTGCCTGTTACTTCATTATAGTTTAGACTGCAGTTATCTCCAGCTTTAAGGACAATCTTGGGATCTTACCTGGGTTTGTGTGTAGAAGTATTGATTCTTAAAATAGTATAAATATTAAGTTTAAAAAAAAGGTGGAAGGCTCTCTGAACTGTGTCATATTACTTTTCTTTTAGCTCACAAAAATCACAAGCTGTCTTTAAAGGTTTTTTACTGAACTGAGGCTTTAAAGGGCTAAATAGATATTACTGTTCAGTTTGCCTAAATGACTGTCAGAAGGAACCCTTTCCAATTTCAGTGCAGAAATGCTAAGGGCTAAAACGCTTTCCAGGGCTAATTTGAGGTTCCAGAGACATACAACATTCAAAAAGTAACTAGTCTGTTTTCTGTTCAACTCCTGGACTCTAAAATAATTTTTAGAAATGGCTGAACCAATTGCAGATATAAGTGTTCCTATATGGCTTGGAATTTCAGTATCCAGATTAGATATAGGAACACACTAGAGAAGATAGTAGACTTGCCCACGACTTTACTACTGCCCATGCTGAAATCTAACAACTTTTATGAACCACACTGCCAATGGAGAGGCTTTGAGGAAGATTCTGCCCCAGGAAATTGTCACAGAATATTTCTTCACAACTTAATTGTCCTTTACTTTAGCAGGGTCTACCAAGGCATAAACTTCTCAGAAGTTCAGTGAATAGACACTGCTGCAAATACAGGTTTCTGAACCCATCAAAGGGTTCTCCTTAGGATGTTGTGTGTTAATAACTACTATAATGACGGGAACTTTTTAGAAAGTTATTTTGCTACTTTGGGAGTGGGTGGAAGGGGAAGAGGTTCTGTGACAGTGCTCTCCTTGCCTGAGCCTAAATTTTGACCTAGGTTGTGATTTTGAGGCCTAGCCATCTGGAATGTAAGGGTTAATGTATTTATGTATGTGATTCTTGCTACTTTTGAAGATTTTCCAAAAGCTTATGCACAACTTTACTCACATTAATTTGGCTCTTGTACTTGCTAGAATGAAGCAAGTGCTAAGGCACTGTAAGAGAATCGTTGCCAATCTCTCTACTTAGAACTGAAACAAGATCACCAAACTGAAGAAGTATCAAATGGCAACTTTTTCCACCTGCTTCTACCCTTAGCCTCATCTGAACCCAGCTGTGAAAAATCTGTTTCCTGTGCACTCTCTAGAACCACCTACCCAGTTCAACAGATGTTCTTTATTTTTCTTTTTCCTCCAAATCACTGGTCTCAAAATTAGTTGTGCATCAGCTGTTTGTGCTTATATCCAAGTGGCCATACTTGCAACATGTTCTTTCCTGGATAGTGGATTAGCAATAACACTTTATTTTGTGCCAATTCATTATCTCTGAAGTGTTCTTACTGCAGCAAAATTTGAGTTTTGATTTGGTTTTAATGCATTTGCATTAGCCAAAACTCTTAGCACAGACATAGACAAGAAACTGAATCCAGGGAATTTCCCTGGAAAGAAATCTGCTAGGGCTTCCCATATAATTTGAAGGTGGTTACAGTTAACCATCACTTTTAAAACAAGCGTACAATTAAAAAGTGTGTGGGTATTTTTTTAAACTCCTTTTCATAACACTGGTGTATTGTAAACTGCATGAAATAAACCTGGTTTTTCCCTTTTAAAGTCTCATGTCTTAAATCTGGTTTTTTTCCAAATGCATTAATTAACAGTGTAATATCACTGGTAATTCCTAGTTTAGCACTTCAGATGTAAATTGTAGTTGCATATTTGTGCAGAGATTCAAAGCAGTAACATTCTCCTTTGTAAAGGAGATGTATCCTTTACTGCTGTCCCAAAGACTTGGTCACAAAAAAGTCATGTTTATTCAGATATATCAGCGGGGAAATTATTTTCCTTTGCAGTTGTTATGACTTTGCTGATCGTTCCAAGAGGAAATAGTTCTTTCTGGTATGGATATACATTTATACAAAAAAACCTGTACCAAGTTTTAACTAATCACTTTGCATCCATTTTCTTCACGCAGCTCACAAACCACCCTGCCTGATATCACAGATTTTAGAATTCACTACTTTGCTTTTTAATATAAATGCTTCTTTAGTCTGAAAAATGAAGCTAACCGAAATTGATGCTTTGCCAACAGAGTATAATAAATGTAAACAAGAAGCCACTTAGTACATGTTTGCTGCAAAAGTTTCAGAGAGAAATGGCTGAAGAAAGTAAATTATTAAGTACCAAGTACAGGTTTCTGAAATTATTCAGGAAGTTTGACAGCTGTGTCCTCTACAAGTATAGAAAAGTTCATAATTCAGTATTAGCATTGAGAAGACCATAGACTGCTGTTCTTTTCCAAACTGCCAGTAAGAACTTGAGAAGCTAAGACCCATGATTTTTAAAATCTTAAAGGCTGTACAGTTACATATGATGTGAATTTCATCTTAACAGTTTATTCAGTTTTAAATGTACATTCTAATATTTCCTTATATATCCAGCAACTTAAGTAAAATGGTGTCATTTTACTTAACTGATTTGCTGCATTTTAACTGCATTTTATTTAACTAAAATAAGTGCTAAGTACAAACATTGCTCTAATAGAAATTAACTAATAAATGTGTGCATCTGTATTTTTAACAGACTGTCTTACTAAAAGTATTTGCACTTTACAGTCAACCAGCACTACTTCCAACCCAAATTCCTACTCTTTGTATCTGTTGCTTCTACTGTCTTCACCACTGAGCAAACGTGAGAGCATGAAAGGGACAAGTGTGTACCTGAACTAGAAACCAGTTTATAAAGGGGATCTAACCAAGTAAGTAATTAACATCCTATTTGGATCTTTTAGAACTTTCAGAGTTTATCTGGAGCTAATTTTCCTCTCAGTCAGAAGTTTCACTTCAGAAAGATGAAAGTGACCCTGCATATTCATCTTTCAGTGGGCTGAGGTCTTGCCTGGTAGTAATAAACACATAGTCCATATTTATGTGATGTTCTCCAAGACTGCAGTCTTTGCAATTTCATGAGATAGATCTTGTCAGCCGAGTGGGAACAGTTTCCACTGCTTTGGGTAATATCACTGAAATTGCTGGGAAAGGTGCACGGGGGGGGGGGGTGTTTGTCCTGGGCCGCCGTGGACGTTTGCTGCCGGTGAAAGTTTTTTCAGCCAGAGGGACCTTCAGCACACGCTCTGACTAGGGCTGATTCAAATCTACGTGATTAGTTATTGAGACAGTCAATTCTAGAGTTACCAAGAAGCCCTTTGGACTGTAACAGTACCCAGCACGCAGTTCCAGAAGCACCGACACAGCGCAGGGCCCGGCTAGGCAGAGCATCCGGGACTAGAAATATTTCCATTAAAATTAGAAATATAACTCAAAGACGAGATCAGAATGTGACTCATACTCTGCCACTAAAAATGCGTTCTTCGAAACCGAAACCAAACAACCGCCCGCTAAAAACCCTCCAAAACCCGAAGAGACCCGAACCCCGCACGAGCATCACGTATCCAGCGCGCGGCCGGAGCCCACCCCGCCCCCTCCCATAGGCCGCGCCGCCTGCCCATCACCAGGGCAAGGGCCCATCCTCCAATCAGAAGCTCTGCTGAGCACAGTGGGCGGGGCTCGGGCAGACCGCGCGCTCCCGCCCGTTGTGGGACGGGGCGTTTTCAGCGTGCGGGCGGGTTCCGCAGCGCAGGAGGTGAAGGTTGCTTCAGTTTTCGGTCGGGACTGGCGAGAGCTAGGGGCGCGAGGAGGGAACGGTCCTGGGAGAGCCCCGCTTGGATTCCTGCCGGCGCTTCGTGCTCAGGCATCGTCCGGGCACCTCTGGGTCCTCTGTCGCGAGGGTGCGTAAAGCGTGGCGAGTGGCGGGCGGCGCGGACGGGTCGGGCCGAGGGACACAATAGTGCTGTCACGCTCCGCTCCCGGGCGAAAGGGAGGGAAACTCCGGCGTGGAGACAAAAGGGGGGGGGAGCGGGAACATCCGGGTCACTCGCGCGGCCTCGATCCGGGACACGCGCGGCGGCGGCGGCGGCTCTCGGTGAGGCCCGGCCGGGAGCGGGGCTGGGAATGGGAGCGGGGCCGGGAGCGAGGCCGGGAGCGGGGCGGGTGCGGGCAGGGCCGACGGCTCCTGCCTGCGGCGGGCCGGGCCGGGCCGGGCCCGGCGGCCGCG